ATGCAAAATAACTTTATTTTTATCTTGCTAATCAGAAAGGATGTCCTTAGCCCTTGCTAATCTGGGAGGAATGCCCTTTCATAGCTATACACATGCACACACACACACACACACACACAGAGCTAATTTTATGCATAAAAAATACATGAAATATTCTCCAACCTCTCTGTCCTTCTTCACAGAAAATGATGCTCACCGTGGCACCCAGGCCATCATCACAAGCATTGCTTTCTCTAGTTTCAATCAGCTCTCAAGCTATCATCCAAAGCCTGTTGTCTGTTTCCATTTGGAGCACTCCAGCAGCCTGCTAGGGGCTGGCCCAGAATCCATAACTAACTGTGGTCTTTGCCAGAAGGAGTCTCCAGCTGAATTCCCCGGTCAGACAAGACCTGGGGAGGCTTCTCCATCTGTCTGCAGTGGGGATTGGCCCTGTGCTGGCAGAATGGTGGAAGTTCAGAGAAGGCAGGGGGCTTCAGACCAACAGAGAGGTGGGGGAGGCAGCTTCCCCCCTAGGACATGATCTGCTGTCATTTGTGGAGAAGCTTCCCTTGCTGTGCTGAGCTGCAGCTGTCTGGGACGAAGGAGTAGAGACAAAGTGCATTCTCAGGGATAAAGAAGGTCACCACCCTCAGCAAAGATAAATAGAGAATGGAAATAGATACAAGAAAGCTAAGGGGAAAGAAAGATACTGTCACCTAAGAGACAGAAAGGAAGCAAAGGTCTCCTGGAGCCTGGATTGAAATAGGAGGTAGATGGTGAGAGCAGACTGAGCCAGGTCTTCACGGGCTGAGTCACGCACTGGTGACAAAGAGCCCCAGTGTTCAAACAACACAGGTTCATTTCTTGTGCACGCTGTTTATACATCGTAGATCAGCCAGAAGTTCAGTTTCTTATGCTCGTCGGGGAACTGGGCCCATGGAGGCTCTGAATTGACTTTGACACAAGGAGATCAGAATGTGTGTTAAGTTTCTATTGAGCACTGGGTCTTCAAGCTTCCACACCAAATAGACATGTGACACATGACTGTCATGTGTCGCTACCAAAGTGACAGCTGGCACACACCTAACTTCCAATCCTACCATCTTTAGAAGAAGAACCAGAGGGGCACTTGGGTGGCTCAGTCAGATAAGTGTCCAATTTTTGTTCAGGTCATGATCTCACAGTTGGTGGGTTCGAGCCCCATGTCAAGCTCTGTGCTGACAGCCCGGAGCCTGGAGTCTGCTACAGATTTTGTCTCTCTCTCTCTCTGCCCCTCCCCTGCTCATGCTCGGTCTCTCTCTCTCTCTCTCAAAAATAAATAAATATTTTTAAAAAGAAGGAGAACCAAAAATTTGGGGGAATAGCACTAATGACTACTGGAGCAAGCATCACAGAATGAGAGAAGGACAGAGGGAGACACAATGAGTAGGAACCAGGATCACAGAGATCAGTGGAGCTCTGGGTAGGGGCCCCTGCATATATCTGGGAGGGTGGAAGTCTGGAAGGCAAGTAGTGCTACCATGTTCCTACACACAGAGTCTTGAGGTCAGTATAACCTTGCTCCTATCAGCTGCTGCATTGTCATGACGATGGACACAGACACACACACAGAGCCATTGGCTCTCATCAGCTGAGTACTATCACTTTTGCCTCATTCTCTTTGTCTTTTCCACCTAGGACACCAGTTCAACTATGTCAGAATTTTCATAATGTCATATTTGTCTCTTCTTTCTGGTTCCATCTTTTTGTCCCTCTTTTATCTCTCTCTCTCTTTTTTTTTTCTGGCCTAGCTTCCAGTTTACATATTTTCTTTTCTGCTGTATCTAATCTGACACTAAACCCATCCAAAGTGGGCTTGATTTCAGTCATGTTATTTTTACACACTAGAATTTCCATTTGGTTCATCTTTTATGGTTTTTAGTAGTAATTTCTAGTTATCCACCAAAACCCTTCATCTTATCTTTTCTTTCTCAAACATATTTGTCATGGTTATTTTGAAGTTTGTGTCTGTTTTATTATCTGGACCTATTGTGGGTCTATTTCTGTTGTCTATTTTTGTCTCCATTTTTGGCCATGTTTTATCTTTCTACATACTTAATTATGTTATAACGAGTGCCAGATATTGTATTTGAACATCTGCAGAGAGAATATGAGGCTTTTAATGCTGTGATATTCTTCCAGAGAGGATGAACTTTGCTTCTGGCAGGCATCTGGGCTACAAACACTCATAATTCCAGGTTGCCTTAATTCAATCAAGGGTTTAGATTATTTGAAATCAAGCTTCAGACCCGGAGGGGCCTGGTCTGTTGGTTCACACTTATTTCCAAGGCAACTGATAGCCTACGGTATTTTCCTGGGCTCTCCTCCCCAGCAGTCTCTGAAACTCATAGTGTCTCTGTCTCTCTCTATTTTGTATTGAAGTATAGCTGATACAGCATTACATTAGTTTCAAGTATACAACACAATGATTCAACAACTCTGTAGGTTATGCTATTACCGTATCACTGACTATATTCCCTATGCTGTGCCTTTTATTCCCAAGACTTATTCATTCAACTGGAAGCCTGTGTCTTCCCACCCCCCTTTGCCCATGTTGCCCATCCCTCCCCAGTCCCCCTTCCCTTCCACCAACCATCAATTTGTTCTCTGTATTTGTAGGTCTGATTCTGCTTTTTGTTTTTCAGATTCCACACATAAATGAAATCATGAAACTCATAGTCTTGATGTGTGGAGAACACTGCTCAGTGTTTCAGGCTTCCACTTGCAGAATTTGCAGATGCCTCTGAGGACAAGTGGTCCCAGATGCTGGGTTCACCCCTGGGCCTCTTTTCTTTCTTAGAACTGCAATTCCTTGCTGCTTTGGTGGCTCTCTGATACCTTCAAACAGATGTAGTCCTACATCAGCCTTGCTCACTGTTCTCAGGGGGAGAACCACTTCTAAAAGTGGAAATTTGGGAGGTGACATTTGGACCGAGACCTGAGTGAGAAAAGGCTGGCATTGTCAGGATCTGGGATCCGGGGAAGAATGCTGAGGCCAATAGCTTGCAGTGAGTGAAAATGTGGCTATCTATGTTCAAGGAGCAGACAGGCCATTGTGGGTGAAGTTGAGTGAGCAAGAAGGAGTATAGTAGGGTGAGAGGCCAGCCAGGTGGCGGGGGCCAGACCATGTGGGTGCTGGAGGCCATGGAAAGGAACAGAAATCTTCCCTTAAGGAAGGTTCAGAGGGATGTGGACACACATGTGTTTGTGGGATGGGCTCCTCCTTAGAGCTACCATCGTAGAGTGGCTTGTGAATTGTGTTCAGTTCACAGGAACTTGAGATAAGTGATCCAGAGGTCCTACTCGTAGATCTGAAAACCAGCCAGAATTCCTAAGTTTTTGGTTTATCCATAAACTGGGTAGTTTCCCTTCATCAGAGCATGTTGCTGTAGAGAGCAAATGGGAACAAACTCGGAAATGCCATTCATTGGCAGATAGTTGCTGCTGGAATGCTAGGAAAATGAACAATTGACTGGATGCTTTCCCACTCTCCTTTTCTCTTTTTCTTCTTCCTCCTTCTTTCTCTCCATTACCTGTTACTTCCATGCCGTCCAATGTGCCATCCGAAGTCCCCACAATGTCCAGGCCTTCCAGGAAGCTCAAGCCATGACTCCTATTCCCTGAGCTTTATGACTCCATTTACTAATGGATCTCTCTGCCTTGGAGGGTAAGAAATACACATTGAATAAGAGTGTAACTGAGTATCTAGGAAAGCAATTCACAAAAAGGTCTGACTATACTTGACTGTCTCTGGAGAGCACAGTTTACCTAAGTGAATTTATTATTCCTAGGTGATGCATCAGAGCTAATTTTGAGCAGAATTTCAACGTAGTTTTCTTTCCTCCAGAAACCTTACAGGGAATAGAATGCCTGTTCTCAGCACAAAACTCTGACAAGTTATCTCCATTCCTCCCTCACTGTTTGGAAGTGGCTCAGTACCTCACGAAACTCAGGAGACAGAGGTTACTGCTTCTGGGGATAAGTCATGGTGTGGGAAGGTAGGTACTAAAACATTCACAACTGAAAGTCATGTCTCCATGAATTCGAGGAATTCACACATCATTTTCAGTTCATAGGAACTTCAATTACTCAGAGTCTGTAGATAGAAGATGTTATCCATGGTTCTGAAGTTTTGGTATATTCAGAAACCCGGCAGCGTAGCTACAGTGCTTACTGCCATACATACCTGGCAGGCCAAACGTGAAAGCAAGAACCTGTGTCCTGAAGTTTCCACTCATGTTTAGCAGATGACACTTTGCAGGGCCAATCTCCTTCTATATGCTTGAGGATTTTAATTTCACATGGTCATATGACTGGTCTGAATCCAGGAATGAATAGCTGCAGAATTATTCCACCAAGAGATATCTCTGAAAGTGTGAGGGGAAATAGAGGAGAAGAAATATATCTCTCTTTATATTAACAGTTTCTCAAATGGCATTTTCTAATACAGTGTCTTTGGGCACATCTCACCCATAGTCAAGATTTTCTGGGCCTGTGAATGCATTTGTGCAGAAAAGTCAATCCATTCCGTTTAAGGGGGCATGGCATCCTTTGTCATGTGCAGCTCAGTGTTTTCTGCCTCCCCTCTTTGGCTGATAATGGCCTTTGGTGCAGCTGTGTGTGCAATCCACTGTCCTTTCTGGAAGCGCTAACTCATTCTCACTCCAGAGCCCTTCGTAGAAGACATGTCTACTTGTTGCATTGTTTCCCACGACATTTCCAGTGAGCTGAGCAGCATTTTGATTCTGTCATTCCAAACTTACCAGGAAGGTGTCTAAATACTGAGCTCCTTGACAAGAGAGTTCAGTGGCACCAATATCCAAGAACAACAGCTCTGGGCTCCAGAAATGGCGCTGTTTTCCTTCCCCATAGCTTCCGCTCAGGCAGTGAGGCTCACAGATAGCAGCACAACAGAGGGCCCTCTGGGGAACATTCTTAAATCTGATTCTAGAATCAATACACATCACACAGGAAGTGCCTGCAGACAGATGCCTTGCATCCCTGAGGATGGGGCACTGGTCCCCGCCTGATCTGCCTTGTCGGCACATGGCTCATTCATCTGAGCAGAGCTAGGTAAGAAGCATCTCATGGGAAAGAAGTGAACAGTGGAAGAGGTGAAGTGATTTACTTGAGATCACTTCACAAATTGGTGCCACATTTTCCTGAGAGAACCTAACCTCCCCTTCCCCAACCTCAAAATCTGGAAGCCTGCTGCCAGCCAGCAGAAAGTGTCTGAGGGGCCAAGTATTGATTCATTGATACATTCAGTGACTCTTTTGGGAGAGGGGTAAGGGCATCTCTCATGCCAGGAATTGAGAACACAGCTGGCAACAAGCTGATGTGGCCCTGTTGTTATAGAACTTTCATCCTACGAGGAAAGACAGACAGCAAATAAAAAACAAACCCACAAACAACATTGTGATCAGTGCTATGAAGGAACCGAGCAAGATGAGGCCCGAGAGTTTCAGAGAGTGGTCAGGGCAGTGCCTCTGAGGAGGGGACGTTCAGGACTCCAAGGTCAAAGGACAAGTTGGAGCCAGCCAGGCGCAGGTCAGAGAGCATGGCAGCGAGAAGTAGGGGAACAGCTTGGCATGTTCCAGAAACTGTCACAATATCAGCGAGCCTGGCGGTGTGGTGAGCAAAGGGCAGATTGGCAAAAGATGAACACAGACAAGGGAGCTGCCAGCTTGGGTTCTGTAATAGGTTAGGGTCATTGACTTTACTCTGAGCACCAACAGAAGCTAGCTAAGCTTTCCAGGCAGGAGTGGCCACAAGTTGATTTGTACCTTTTAAAGATCATTCTGGATATATGTGGAAAACTTAGACTTTGAGGGGCCAGAGAGGCAACAGGAACTTCTTGCATCACCGAGAGATGGTGGGGGCGTGGTGGACCAGGTGGTGGGCCATGGGGTGGCAGGAGTGGGCAGAGGCTTGTTATATTTTGGGTGTAGAATTGGCAGGACATCCAAAGGGTGGGATGTTCGGTGGGCAGGATGAGAGTACGGAGGAGCCCAGGACGTTACCTAGATTCTCGGCTTTAGCGGTCAGCTGAGTCGAGAGAGGTAGCAGAGGCTACTGCCAAGGTGCGGAAGACGGGGAGGAACAGGTTTGCATATTCTCTCCAAACGCAGAGGTGAAGAAAGCTGTGGAATATATACATTTCGCACTGAGAGGCGTTGTCTGGGTTGAAGATAAGAATTTGAGAGTCATCAAGATTTAAATGGTATATAAGGAAATTGAAATAAGCTAGACTACCAGGGAAGAAAGTATAGTGAGGAAGCAGACATGAACTTGTAGCACTTCAGAGTTTAAATGTCTTACAGGGGAAGGGAAGCCCATGGGGTGACTAAGCATAGTCTACTCCTTTCCTATTGCACTGTAACCAGTGACACAGACATGGTCGAAAGGCCTGTGAATGGGAGAAAATATTTGCAAGCCACAAATCCAGAAAGGGTTAACATCCAAAATGTACAAGGACTCCTACAACTCCATAGCCAAAAAACAAAAACAAAAACAAAAACAAAAAACAAAAAGCAAAAAACAAGCAATCCAATTAAAAACTGAGCAGAGGAACTGAATAGGCATTTTTCAGAAGAAAACATACAAAGGGCCCAGGAAAAGATGCTCAGCATCCATAATCACCAGGGAAACACAGATTGAAACCACAATGAGGTATCACCTCTCACCTGTTAGCATGGCTGTCATAAAAAGACAAGAGGGAACAAGCATTGGCAGGGGTGTGGAAGAAAGGGAACCTTGTGCACTGGTGATGGGAATGTGTTGGTGCCGCCACTGTGGAAAACAGTATGGAGGATCCACAACAAATTAAAAATAGACCACCATATGGTCCAGCCCTGGGACAAGCCCTGTGCAATTGTGACTATGCCAGGTGGAGAGGACCTGGAGGACAGAGCCTCTGAGGTGTGAGAAGCTGTAAGAAGGCCAGTAAAAATAAGGGGAATTGGAGAGAGGGAGAGAGTGAGGAGATAAGGCCAAAATGAGAGGTTTGCCAGATCGCACAGGACCAAGTAGGCCATGAGAAGGATTTACCCAGGGTACGGTGTGAATCCCATGGGGGTTTTGAGGGGTAAGCTACAACTTCTGATTTTTAAATTAAATGTTGAAATTTTGAAATAATTTCAGATTTACCAGGGAGTCACGAGGATAGTAGAGGGAATCCCTATACACTCTCTGCTGGTGTTCAGCCCAGCTTGCCCCTCATCTTGGGGTAATTAAGAGGCACACAGGTGTTTCCATGGGATTGGGACACAGTGACCCAAGGGACAGTTTCATGGAGGACCCCACTAAGTACAAGTCAGGATGTGCAGGTAGATTCCCAAACTACCTGTCGCCCACTGGTCCTTAGTTTGCCCAAATTCCCAAAAGGAAGGGACACAACACTCAGCAGCATCTAGCCCACCTGCCTTTCTCAGGGCCTTTGTGGTCAGAACTCTTCCTACAGCCCCAAGATGCCACGATTTCAGAAAAGGAAAATTTCCTCATGAAGCATCAGGATTCTCTGGTTGGTGGCACCTTGTAAGAGGTGTTATTCTACTCTGCACTTTTTCTCTTCTGTGCCCAGTGCCTCCCTGGGATTCGGACCCCCTTCCTTCTTCCTTCTCTGTTTCCTTCCTCCCTCCCTCCCTCAATTCCTTCCTTCCTCCCTCCCTCTCTCCCTCCTTCTCTTCCACCTTCCTTTCTTTATTCCTGGGATTCACATGCTCAGCGGGATCTCCTCTGCCATCGGCTGTTGTGGGTGAGCAGGACCAAGCACCCTGCCAGCCACTTGCCTGTCTGGCTGCTCCACCTTGCTGGCAAACAGGGTCCATCATGGCCCACTGGTGAGGAGAGGTCACGGTGACCATGGGAAGAATTTCATTTTCTACCATCATCCCCCATCTCACAGCTTGGATCAGTTGCATGCTTTGCTTTCCTGGCTTTTGTCAATCACAAACTTCGAGGGCTCTGTTTCTGGTAGAAGAGGGGGAGGCAGTGGAGGCCGGGAGAAAGACACCCTGCATTCCACAAATATAAAAACGTAAAAATATCTCTCCTCAAGACAGAGTGATAAGAAAATATGCAAAACCTGGCGGCAGAATTCCTTTTAGGGGGGGAATGGTTTTTAGCACAGCAGCGTGATCAACCTTTTGGCCTGCGAAATGATAGCTGCCAGACTTGGCTTGGGTGGGCTAAAGGAACTGCAAGACATTGGAATGTCTCTGAGTGAGAGTTGCAGAGAGCTGGTGGCAGGAAGATAGGGGATGTCTGGGGAGGAAGAAATGCCGAGAACCAAGGCAGGATGCTGATGCCCGGGGAGAAGGGTCCACTCATGGTGGGAACAGCTGAAGAGCTCCTAAGAACAGGGATGTCTAGTGCCCTACTCTAAATGATCTGCTAAACTGGCTTAAATGTAAACACCTGCTCTAACTCCCAGAATCCTCAGCAAAGTTCACCATGTAAATGTGTCAGTGGTGTGGGTTGTAAATCAAGGAAAGGAGCTGCTTTTACTCTCTGCTTCCTCTGTAAAGTTCTTCGCATGCAATTTTCCTGGTCCTAAGAAAGAGAAGGAAGGTGGGCACACTGATTGGTATCAAGACCCCCATTGTCTCACTCTTATGGCAATTCTTCCCATATGAATTTTTTTTAATGTTTATTTATTTTTGAGAGAGATAGCATGAATTGGGGAGGGGCAGAGGAGGAGGGGACAGAAGATCCCAAGCAGGTTCTGAGCTGACAGCAGTGAGCCTGATATAGGGCTCGAACCCACAAACTATGAGATCATGACCAGAGCCAAAGTTGGATGCTCAATTGACTCAGACATCCAGGTGCAACCCCCCCCCCAGTTTAACTTATTTTTAATTTTTTAAGTTTATTTGTTTATTTTAAGAGAGACAGAGACAGCAGGAGTGGAGAGGGCAGGGAGAATGAGAGAGAGAGAATCTCAAGCAGGCTCTGCATTGCCAGCACAGAACTGGATGTGGGGCTTGAACTCATGAAACCACAAAACCATGACCTGAGCTGAAACCAAGATTCCGAAGCTTAACTGACTCAGCCACCCAGGCACCCCATACCCCTTTTAATTTTAAAATAAGAGTTTAGCACTTACAGAAAGAAACCTATAAATTCAGGTTGCCATTATTTTTTTTTATATCATTTGGTAAAGAAAGAGTTAAAACTTTGTCAGTGAGTATAAAATCAGTACATTTTCTGATCTCATAGTCAGATCTACCAGGGAGCCCCAGGAAAGGGAGAAGGGCTTAGACATTGGTGATGATTTTCCATCACGAAAAAGCCAGTTAGATAGAAGTGGGAGGCTGGGCAGCGACTTGGTTCAAAGGAATGAAAATGAGAAATGGATTTTGAGCTGAGTTTAATGAGGCTGCTGCAAAGGTTGGATTTAGGTCTAGGCTAACTTGACATTTTAAGAAAAAAATATCTCGGAAGAGAATCAGCAGCAAAGTAGATGTCTGTGCTACTAGATTCAGGCAGGGGGCCCGCCTCTAGGGAGATCAAAGAGACTACAGAAAATTAGGATGTTTGGGGGTCATTGGCCAGTAAATAACAAAAGAGGAGGAAACCACAAAAACTAATCTGATTGTAAATTCGGTGTGGAACGAATTAATGCTTAAAAGATCACTGGGGAAGGTGTGGGCAGGGTGATGATATATTAGAAAATTAGGGAGGTTTGCCACATACTTTGCATCATAGCACAAACATCTGAACTCCTAAAGCTTTCTCTAGACCATACTGGATTAGACTGAAAAGTGCTAGTGGGATTATTTTCTTTGAGAATTTGGAACTCAGTTGAGATGATGTCTTCCTGACACCCATGCCTATGGTGGCTCCAGAGAAAAGCCTTACCCTTTGTGGGCAGGGGGAGCTGTCCTTGACTTCCTGAGACGAGGTCCTCTGGGAATGTGCTACGATACCATGACGGTTCAGGGAAGTGATTCCTACTGCTTCTACTTCCTTTCCCTCTGGAATTTCCAGCAGCCAGTGGAAGCATGGATAGCTTTGTTTTTAAAAATGTGATTTAGATTTAGCTCCAACTCCTACTTATCAGGATTTTGAGT